TTATCGCAATATTACAAATGAAAAATGAGCAAACCATTTTATCCAAATATGCACACTATAATTGAAAACTTGAAAAAAAAATCTGTACAAAAATTCAAATAATCAAATTATTTAATGTTTTCCCTTCTACGATAATGTCAATATGCTGTCAGATTTTCACTTCAACAAGCTTCTTCCAGGTAATTTGAGTTTTCTTCAGCTTTAGCTTCGATGTAAGTTGAATATTTGTCGTCGTCATAAAAGGGCTTCTCGTAGATGCCTGTAGGAAGGGCTGCCTTTTTCGACAGACACTGAGCGCTCAATTTTTGTGTTGTTATGGTCTGCCTGCCTGCCATTTGTGGTGCCGCAACTGACAACACAGCGGACAACAACCACACTCCGAAAAGATAGCTGCAGAGAAAAATCAAGAACATAGAGCGGAAGAAACTCCTGTTAGCGAAACTTCCAGCCGCACTTAGCATCACAATGCCGAGAACTGAGGTTAGAACTATGTTGTTCATTGCCACACTCACAGAGCTCAAAGCGGCTCTCACTCTCTGCTGGGGAGTTGATCCCTCGGCAACCATGAAGCCCCTTGCCATGTGGGCCATATAGTTGATGCATAGCCATGAAATAGAGGTTTCACAGAGATTATTGATTTTTCTGGTTAGGGCGACAATTCGTATCATGCGACAATTCGTAACAAGGCAGTGGCTAGTAGAATACGCTTGCTCTGGTTCGCTACGCTGCGATTACATCCGGCACGAGAAGAATTCAACCTCACAGATTTGGAAAGGGTACTTTTTGAGGAAAATGTCAAGTTCAAAATTGTTGGTCAAAAATTCACCCACACACTTTTTCGAAGACTGTAGAAAGTGAAGTAAAGTTAAAAGAGCCTAGAAGATTACGCAGGCACACAGCAGTGTGGGCGGACTTCCCCTTGGTTTTACTTTTTTTATAATCGATAGCGTAGTTTCTGAGAAATACTGATTTTTTGAAATAGTAAAAAAAAAGAGTCTAAAAAAAAAGAAATCAATAAAAATACCCGGAATCAATAATTTTTTCATAATCTCTGTTTTTATCAAACAGAAATTTTTATTATATTGGGAATTTTCCAACCGCCCTATTTTTGTTCAAAAATTTACTGGTGAATCACTGTTGCAAATTTCTAGCTGCGCACGTCAATACCTCTCAGGTGGTACAAAAATTACCTCAAAAAAGCTAGTTCTGAGGAAAAAACCCGAACACAAATATTTGACACTTTCTTAAAAAATCGGAGCAAAAAGTACTGAAAATTATATTTAACTATTGTAGTGAATAAATGGTACCAATTAATTTGCCTAAATCAATTTGTATGGATTACTTGAGCGCGTTGACATTGGATTTAATAGTAAAAAGCGTACAAAACCTTTTTTTTATGACCCTGACGTACAACGCAATAAAGACACTACTATTTTGACAAAACTTTCTGCACCGCAGGCAAAATAATGGGAAAAAAACGACAAAAAGACATAATAAGGCACATTTTGAAAAGTTTCATCCCAAAAATAGCGTCTCCCCCATCAAGATTGGTACATACTGTCGTGAAAGAAGCCGGTATATCAATTTAAGGGCCCTGCATGTAATCAGAAAATTTTTTTTTTCGGAGCAAAAGGAAAGTTATAGTTTTTCGAACAATTCATGGACTTTTAAATAACCAATCGAGAGTGTTTAAATTTACACTGTGACATTACATACTTTTCAAATTCTCTTAAAGAAAAAGATTTACAAAAGATTTTTTAAGAAACAAACTTTATCTTAATATTACATATGAATAATGTGCAAAACCTTTTATTCAAATATGCCCACTATACTTGAAAGCTTGAAATAAATCTGTACAAAAATTTAAATAATCACATTATCTAAAGTTTTCCCTGCTACGATAATGTCAATATGCTGTCAGATTTTCACTTCAACAAGCTTCTTCCAGGTAATTTGGGTTTTCTTCAGCTTTAGCTTCGATGTAAGTTGAATATTTGTCGTCGTCAGAAAAGGGCTTCTCGTAGATGCCTGTAGGAAGGGCTGCCTCTTTCGACAGAAACTAAGCGCTCGGTTTTTGTGTTTTTATGGTCTGCCTGCCTGCCATTTGTGGTGCCGTAACTGACAACACAGCGGACAACAATCACACTCCGAAAAATAGCTGCAGAGAAAAATCAAAAACAAAGAGCGGAAGAAACTCCTGTTAGCGAAACTTCCAGCCGCACTTAGCATCACAATGCCGAGAACAGAGGTTAGAACTACGTTGCTCATTGCCACACTCACAGAGCTCAAAGCGGCTCTCACTCTCTGCTGGGGAGTTGATCCCTCGTCAACCATGAAGCCCCTTGCCATGTGGGCCATATAGTCGATGCATAGCCCTGAAATAGAAGTTTCAGAGAGATTATTGACTTTTCTGGTTAGTGCGACAATTCTTAACATGCGACAATTCGTAACATGTTAAGAAGAGGCAAGTAGAATACATTTAGTCCGGTTCGCTACGCTGCGCTTACATCCGGCACGAGAAGAATTCAACCTCACAGATTTGGAAAGTGTACTTTTTGAGGAAAATGTCAAGTTCAAAATTATTGGTCAAAAAATCCCCCACACAATTTTTCGAAGGCTGTAGAAAGTGAAGGAAAGTTTAAAGAGCCTAGAAGATTATGCAAACACCTAGCAGTGTGGGCCGACTTCCCATTGGTTTTACTTTTTTTTAATAATCGATAGCGTAGTTTCTGAGAAATACTGAATTTTTGGAATAGTAAAAAAAATCCAAAGAGTCTAAAAGAAAGAAATCAAAAAAAATACCCGGTCCCAATAATTTTTTCATAATCACTGTTCTTATCAAACAGAAACTTTTATCATATTGGGAATTTTCCAACCGCCCTATTTTTGTTCAAAAATTTATCGGTGAATCACCGTTGCAAGTTTCTACCTGCGCACGTCAATACCTCTCAGGTGGTACAAAAATTACGTCAAAAATGCTAGTTCAGAGGAAAAAACCCGAGCACAATTATTTGTCTCTTTCTGAAAAAATCGGAGCAAAAAGTACTGAAAATTATATTTAACTATTGTATGAATAATTGGTACCAATCAATTTGCCTAAACCAATTTGTATGGATTACTTGAGCGAGTTGACATTTGGATTAAATAGCAAAAAGCGTACGAAACCTTTTTTTTATTACCCTGACGTACAACGCAATAAAGACACCACTATTTTGACAAATTTTTCTGCACCGCAGGCAAATTAATGGAAAAAACGACAAAAAGACGTGATAAGGCACATTTTGAAAAGTTTCATCCCAAAAATAGCGTCTCCCCCATCAAGATTGGTACATACTGTCGTGAAAGAAGCCGGTATATCAATTTTAGGGCCCTGCATGTAATCAGAAAAATCTTTCTTCGAAGCAAAAGGAAAGTTATAGTTTTTTTGAACAATTCATGGACTTTTAAATGACCAATCGAGACGAAAGTGTTTAAATTTACACTGTGATATTACATACATTTCAAATTCGTTTAAAGAAAGAGATTTACAAAAGATTATTTAAGAAACAATTTTTATCGCAATATTACAAATGAAAATGAGCAAAAAATTTTTATCCAAATATGCACACTATAATTGAAAACTTGAAAAAAAATCTGTACAAAAATTCAAATAATCAAATTATTTAAAGTTTTCCCTTCTACGATAATGTCAATGTGCTGTCAGATTTTCACTTCAAAACGCTTCTTCCACGTAATTTGGGTTTTCTTCAGCTTTAGCTTCGATGTAAGCTGAATATTTGTCGTCGTCATAAAAGGGCTTCTCGTTAATGCCTGTAGGAAGGGCTGCCTCTTTCGACAGAAATTGAGCGTTAGATTTTTGTGTTTTTCTGGTCTGCCTGCCTGCAATTTGTGGTGCCGCAACTGACAGCACAGCGGGCAACAACCACACTCCGAAAAGATAGCTGCAGAGAAAAATCAAGAACATAGAGCGGAAGAAACTCCTGTTAGCGAAACTTGCAGCCGCACCTAGCATCACAATGCCGAGAACTGAGGTTAGAACCGCGTTGCTCATTGCCACACCCACAGAGCTCAAAGCGGCTCTCACTCTCTGCTGGGGAGTTGATCCCTCGGCAACCATGAAGCCCCTTGCCATGTGGGCCATATAGTCGATGCATAGCCCTGAAATAGAAGTTTCACAGAGATTATTGACTTTTCTGGTTAGGGCGACAATTCGTAACAAGACAGTGGCAAGTAGAATACGCTTGCTCCGGTTCGCACCGCTGTGCTTACATCAGGCACGAGAAGAATACTGTGCGTGAATCACTGTTCCACGCTTATTCTACCGTTACGAATTGTCGCCTGTGATGAATTGTCTCCTCACGCTTTTCTGGTCTACAAAACTCTTGAAGACAAAATAATAAACCAGGACAGCATTGACTCATCTTTAAATCAATACATTTGTCACGATTGGACAATCACTAATGTTTTTGTAAGCAGCTGGAGTTTTGGAAGCAGCTGAATGTTTCAGAAACGCACAAAGATTTGTAGAGATCCAAACGCATGTAATACTTTTCTTTCTAAGCTTGACATTTACTATTATGTGCCATTTAAATCTTTTGACCATTTTAAAAAAACATAGGCATGACAAACTTTACTTCAGCGCCAAAAGAATGAAAAATTGTTTATAGCCGCTCGCGGCTGCTTTGATATTATTACGAACACGGCTAAACCGTCGGATCGGAACAAGTTATAAATAGTATTTCAAATGAACCGCAAAAAAAGTAATGCATCAGCAAGTTATGACAAAAAGACGTGATAAGGCACATTTTGAAAAGTTTCATCCCAAAAATAGCGTCTCCCCCATCAAGATTGGTACATACTGTCGTGAAAGAAGCCAGTATATCAATTTTAGGGCCCTGCATGTAATCAGAAAAATCTTTCTTCGAAGCAAAAGGAAAGTTATAGTTTTTTTGAACAATTCATGGACTTTTAAATGACCAATCGAGACGAAAGTGTTTAAATTTACACTGTGATATTACATACATTTCAAATTCGTTTAAAGAAAGAGATTTACAAAAGATTATTTAGGAAACAATTTTTATCGCAATATTACAAATGAAAAATGAGCAAAAAATTTTTATCCAAATATGCACACTATAATTGAAAACTTGAAAAAAAATCTGTACAAAAATTCAAATAATCAAATTATTTAAAGTTTTCCCTTCTACGATAATGTCAATGTGCTGTCAGATTTTCACTTCAAAACGCTTCTTCCACGTAATTTGGGTTTTCTTCAGCTTTAGCTTCGATGTAAGCTGAATATTTGTCGTCGTCATAAAAGGGCTTCTCGTTAATGCCTGTAGGAAGGGCTGCCTCTTTCGACAGAAATTGAGCGTTAGATTTTTGATTTTTTCTGGTCTGCCTGCCTGCAATTTGTGGTGCCGCAACTGACAGCACAGCGGGCAACAACCACACTCCGAAAAGATAGCTGCAGAGAAAAATCAAGAACATAGAGCGGAAGAAACTCCTGTTAGCGAAACTTGCAGCCGCGCCTAGCATCACAATGCCGAGAACTGAGGTTAGAACCGCGTTGCTCATTGCCACACCCACAGAGCTCAAAGCGGCTCTCACTCTCTGCTGGGGAGTTGATCCCTCGGCAACCATGAAGCCCCTTGCCATGTGGGCCATATAGTCGATGCATAGCCCTGAAATAGAAGTTTCACAGAGATTATTGACTTTTCTGGTTAGGGCGACAATTCGTAACAAGACAGTGGCAAGTAGAATACGCTTGCTCCGGTTCGCACCGCTGTGCTTACATCAGGCACGAGAAGAATACTGTGCGTGAATCACTGTTCCACGCTTATTCTACCGTTACGAATTGTCGCCTGTGATGAATTGTCTCCTCACGCTTTTCTGGTCTACAAAACTCTTGAAGACAAAATAATAAACCAGGACAGCATTGACTCATCTTTAAATCAATACATTTGTCACGATTGGACAATCACTAATGTTTTTGTAAGCAGCTGGAGTTTTGGAAGCAGCTGAATGTTTCAGAAACGCACAAAGATTTGTAGAGATCCAAACGCATGTAATACTTTTCTTTCTAAGCTTGACATTTACTATTATGTGCCATTTAAATCTTTTGACCATTTTAAAAAAACATAGGCATGACAAACTTTACTTCAGCGCCAAAAGAATGAAAAATTGTTTATAGCCGCTCGCGGCTGCTTTGATATTATTACGAACACGGCTAAACCGTCGGATCGGAACAAGTTATAAATAGTATTTCAAATGAACCGCAAAAAAAGTAATGCATCAGCAAGTTATGAATAGTATGAGAAATGTATCAGTGATTTATGAAGTTTTTAAAACAAGACTGCTCGTATATCAGGTCCAAGCCATGAACTTTTCGACTGAACCTAAAGGCCAACTAGCATAAATTTTTTGCACTTTCTTCGAAAGTCGGAACAAATACAAAGTTTTCAGTAGAATAGTTGACAAATAATTTGTTTTCATTTTTTCTGAAATTTAACCCCCACACGCTATATTAAATACAAAAGGTGTCTTTAGCATTTTCACCTGTGACTTTTTTTCGTTAAGTGATGGGGGTTTAGAGATGGCCAATCTGGGACAATTTGGGAAGATTTATTTAGTGCTATTAACGCTTGCGCTGAGGTTTAATAATATGAAAATAAATTTTTTTCAGGTTAGTATACAAGCCATGATTATAAAATCGCATTTACAACCATGTTATTGTTTCTTTTATTCCCAAGGGGGGGGGCGTCTGGCATGCTCAAACCAAGCCCCAGAAACGTCGCAACTTCAGTCGGACGAAACCACACGTCCATTGGGGTCAAAAGAGTGGTGTTCTTGGAACAGATAAAATGATGCAGAGTGATTAAGGGGAAAGACATTATGGGAAAGCTGGGGGGGGGGGGGGGCGTTGGGGTTGCGTTGGGGTTGCAGTTTTCTGCGAAACTTAGGTGCGGGTCGAAGAAGACACCAAGTGATTTGTGATGTTTCTCGTGGGTCCGTATAACGTTGTTCATTAGCACATTCGGGTTAAAGTTATTTTTTTGTTAAAAGAAAAAGCTCGCCGAACCTTTGTAGTAGAAAAAACAAGGAATCTTTAGGTAAGAATTGTGATACTTAGTTAGCTAACTTGATAAAATTAGTCATTCCGTTGAAATTTTGCTATACTGGACGGAAGGGTGGAAGTAGACCTTGTAAGCCTGCAGTTTTAAACGAAAGTGCGATAGTGAAGCGTCATTGTCGTAAAAATAAAAATGTTGGGGATAAAACTGAGCCTTGCGGGACGCCTGTACGAACAATCCTAGATCTTGACAGGTCGTCCATGAACATAGCATTTGATTGACGTCCACTCTGATAGTTTGACAACCACTTAAATATGCTTTCTGGTACGCTGGAGCTATGAAAGAGATCCAGGAGGATGCAATTGCTAACCATGTGATAATTGCATGTTTGTGGGAATTTTATTCAAAGAAAGATAAAGACCAAAAATGTTGAAAAGGCTATGGCTATTGTTCCGACATGTTTAAGGTGGACTGTGCATAGACCATCCGGTCCTTTTTGAGGACTTTCCCGTTTTGATGTTATTTTCAGTTTCATGAGTGACAAAATTTAGTGAGCTTTCAGGCTAAATTCAAGGGATTTTCTCTTAGATCTTTTTTGAGCTTTATCACTAGTGTGTGTTTTCGGTTTGCACCTTAAAGGCAATTGACCTCCTACCGGCCGAGAAAATTTTGTCATAAAACTTATTTGGGTGGGACTTGCCGCCATTTAATGATCGGACCAATTTCTACAACTCATTGGACGACGTATGTTGATTAAAAATCAGGAGGATTTCTCGCCATTTTCTTCTTCGTATTTAGAAGTTTTGGGTATGATATGTTTGCTTGAAACATTTTAAAAAGAGTCAGATGGATTAAAGAACCTGATTTTTGGGCAATTTACAGTATGTGCTCTGCGGCCTCAACATCGTGCTGCTAAAGTTTTTTCTTGCTAAAACCTCTTAAATATTTCGGTAAATCTTTTCGAATATGCCTTTTTTGAAATAAAAAAAAATTTACGGGAAGCGAACGGTATAACTTCTGAAATTGAAAGAATAATTAAAATTGTGAGATGGTTCGAGCCTAACTTAAAAATTGTGCGCCATGGAAGAATGAATTAAATAGACGACGAAGTCACGGAAAGATATCGGGATAACGCTGACGTGTTAGTGTAGCATCGCAGCCTTGTCGGAGGAAGTTTGTTTAGCGGGGTAAAATTCAATTCAAATATTTAGGATCCGAGTCTGATCCCAAGTAGCTCTTCGAGGACATTATAGCTAAAGCGATGCAGAAATTTGTAAATACGAAGATTTTGGTTGTTGGCCTATACTTGCGCGCATTGCGCCTCCGAAATTCTGACTTCCACTTTTAATTCCACGTATAGAAGGAAACTATGACTGACAGTAAGGAGTCCATCTCCCTCTTAGATACGGTTCTTTTTATACGGTGTATAATTTGGGCACAGCGAGGGAGTGCGATTTTCAAGTTTAACTTCTTGAAAAACCGCGATGTGCATCTGGTACTGCACAAAAAGGCTGCAATTCTGTGTCCTTTCTTAGAGACACCACTACAATCTAAAAGTAGAATGTTCAAGGTCTTAGTACAGATGGGATTTGCTAGGTTAATTGGGGGGCTCGTTGCAATTACGATCATTACACATTAACATGATAGATACCATTAGATCTTCTGTTCCATTTTCAGACTTCTCTGGGCGGAAAATTCAAACTGCTTTCTCATTTTACCAACAGCGATTTTCATCAGTATCGACCAAAACTCAAAAGCAAAAGGGTGAACAACAAGAAAGAGGAAATATGAAAATAACCCTGTGGAGATGTTTGCTAAACTTCCCAGCTGTATAGATTTACTCCGCCTCAAAAATTGTTTCAAAGTGATATTGTCTCATGCTATCTAGTCCATTCATTACTCTGCCATTAACAAAACATAACGCTTAGAACTTGATATAGCATTTGGGGGACGGTTTTTTAAAAAAATATATTAGAAAAAATTTAATTTCTTTTTGGAAAATGTATGAAATTATCTTAAAGCGTACAGTATTTCATAGAGTTTTAAAGGCAGTCGAAACTTTCAGGGCTTCGCCCTGAGACGAGCAGTTTTGTTTTCATATGACTAAATTGCTGAACTCAATGAAATTTGTAGCGCATCAATTCACCGCTCACACGTGTTACAAGAACGCAATATACCTCGAATTAATTATCGGATTTTGGCCAATTTAGCCATTTTCAAACCCCGTAACTTTAAGAAAAAATCAGATAAAATATCTTTTTACATTTGAACTCAGCACAACAATATATTTCAGATCGCATAGAAAAAATGCTGTCAAAATCGTTTAGTCAAACAGTCGAAAAATGACGGAGTAAAAAAATCATCCCAAACATAAATATACTGCACTTTCTTCGAAAGTCGGAACAATAAGTAATGCATCAGCAAAAGCTGTGCAAGTGCATCAAATGATCTGACCACAGTTATAATAAAAAAAACTGCAAAAAATGAATTCTTTTCAAAACTTTTTTTTTGTGTCAGTGCACCTGCAGCCACTAAATCCACAGATTCTAATGCTCTCTTAAGTCTTAAGCATTTTCATTAACTATTTACATTTCGCAACTTGAAACAGTCTTCGCACATCGCTTACGTATCTGCTATTCGCTAAATTTGAGTCTGAATAATAAAAAAACACGCTTCGCCATAGTACATTCCCCTTCCGTGAGTGTTCGAAATACCCCCCCCCCCCCCCCCAAATATTTTCCTCTAAACAAAAACGGCAAAACACAACATAAGGTGCGTTATCATACGTGAGCACGTCGTTGATGTTAACATAATAAATTGATAAAATACTCATAAATTTTATGATTTATTGATTAGCATAAATATATTTGCTCTTGAGGCGTGACTCGACAAGCTAAACGCCTTTGACGTTCTCCCAAGTGTTTTTTTTGCATATACTTGGAAACTAAATTATTATGATTATTATACAATCAATAGGCCGACTGAATTTTTTTTATTGAGTTTCGAGACGAAAAAATTGATCTGTTTCTTCTTTCAGTCGTTTTTGTAGCCATAAAAGGGTCTTTTTTGATTACCAAGAAAACTCAATCACCTGAAATTAAGAGGACGTTCTTTTGTGCATTAAAGAGGACCTTTAGTGACTAACCGAATCCGAGCATGATCTCTACGTAGGTGGAGAGTGAGTATGTCAGGTCCCATGCACCCATCAGTCCCATGGCACTCAACATGGCGGCGAAGAAGGAGAGCAGCACTAGGATGTACACTGTGAACGAGGGGATGAAGAACAGAGTCACCACTATGGCCACCACTACAATAACAAACAGAACTTTCTAGATGGTTCTAACTATGTAAAACCAAAAACAGAATGGCGGAGGGTCAGTAAGCCGATGAATCGAGAAATGAGATCAGTACAAAATGAAAAATTTATCCTCTAAACAAAAACTGAATCAAATATAAATCAATATATAGCCAAAAGAGTTGTATAATGAACGCAAGGAAACCGAAAAAAAACTGACTTCTTGTTTTTGAAACAACTTCAAATTTCGAAGGAAAAACATATGCTCTTGAAGCTCTAAATTTCACAAATAATTTGTCATTGGTGTTTTTTTGATAAAACTAATCCAATTTGAGAGCACTTGATCACTAGGTATTTTTTTTCGCTGCGAAATCTGATAACTAATTTCCATTTTCGAAATTACAAGTCTGTCACGTTTTTCGTGACCTTTACACTTTTGCTGATCGATGGTGGAGTTTGCCTTCCTTTTAACAAAGGAAATGAATTTAACTTAAAAAGAAACCATGAGTCAAACCGCGAAAAATCATAATTGAGTGTGAACCTAAAAAAAATTACTGAGAACTATAAAATAGTACTCATTACTTTTATAGCTCTTGCTATGAGCTCCGCAGTTCAAAAAAATTATTACTTCAGCTCAGGGAAAATTAATTCTATAAACATTTTATTCCGCAATTGATATAATTAAATTGAGTTTAATGCTTTGGTAATTTATTGACGCTTCGGTGTACTGAAAGCACATACATGTAACACATACATAAATTTCTAGAGAACCGTTGCTGTGCCCTACTTAAAAATAAAATGCATTTTTTTTTTGTTATTTTTGGATGCTGGGCAATGTGACAATTCATGTATTATAAAAAATCACACTACCAGAGAAATAGCTCTACTGCTCAAAACTGCTCAGTTTTTTAAATCGTTTTGTGCATAACTGAACTGCATACACAAAACTGCATAAAAAAATTAGGCAGACTATTCATAATTAAATGAATGCTCTAAAAAATCGTAGAAAATTTTGAATAAATGTTTTTGTGCAATATAATACTTCGTTATGATGCTAGTTACGATTAGCAAAAAAGTGATACAAAAATCAGTGCCTTTTTATTTAACTGATCCTTTCATAGATCCTCCTCTGCGAATCACAGAAACCACATTGTTCCCGTAGACCGTTTAATCTTATTTTTCTTATTCTCTCAGCGAGAACAACTAACTTTTTAGATTTCAGTGATTTCAGCAGTTAGGCTTCGCTTTGCCGTTGTCTTCGATTTTTGCAGCTTAAATATCTTGCTTTTATTAGTCAATCGATTACAAAAAGTTATCTAATTTGTCTATGTATCGCGGTTGCTATTTTGAAGCCTCGCGCAGAACAAATTGTAGAATTGATTGGGAAAAGGGAAAAATATACATCAAACTATTTCTCGCGAATCTAATTGAATTCGAAAAATGACTGCTTGTTCCTTACCGGCTACGATTGAGATGGAGATCCACACTTCTCCTCTTAGCAGCACATTCCTCTCCAACTCAGACAGAACGAAGGAGTAGGCATGCGGGTTGAGGGAGTCGCCATACATGTCCATAACGGCCTTCAGAGAATCTAAGATCTTCTCGTTCGACTCCGCAGCACCAGAAGTGGACACGATCAGATTTATGTAGAATCTAGCCACAGTTATCTACAAAATATTGTTCAAAACATTGATTGCATAACATCTACGAAATATAGTTTGGTAATCTCATGAGAAAAAAAACAAGTTAAATGTCTTTCGGTTAAATGCCTGGGCTAGGAATATGGCCTCAACCTCAAGCAAGAAGTGCGGATTATGGTGGGCCTCGAACATCCGACCTTTTGATTGAAAGGCGTAGACGTAGCCTTTTGATTAACTTCTGGGCTGAGTAGGTTGCCTTAAGATGAAGAAACAAGCGCAGATCATGTTGCGCATCTAATAAATGTTGATCAATGTCAAGAAAACACCTCGCTAACATAATACATGGGTAAATTTATTATTCAACGCATAGGCGAAGTTGCACTTCGCATACACAAGCAAAAATATGACCGATAACGCTACTGGGAAAAACTGAATGAATAAAACTTTGAGTCTACAAAATTTCTTAATTGACGCACGCCAATTATGAGTATAAATAATTGCTAAGTAACGCAAACCAACTATGACTCATTAGCAGTACCAGTCAATTTGAAAAAAAAAAAATTTACCACCCAACCTGCCTCAATTTATAGAGCGGACGCATGTTAACTAGTATACGAAAAAATTCAATAAAAACATCCGACCCTGCCCTGGTTCGAACCTTGGGCGGGTCTTTTTTCCACCTCTACGCTACAGATCCATGATACATTGAAGCCAAAGTGCTTTTCGTAATATAATAGTCTATGTAATATACTTAGCATTTGCTGTACTTAATAGCTGGTTATTGATCAAAATGAACTTATTTTGTCGCAACAATATTTGCCTCGCAACAATATTTGCGACTCAGGTTGGAAAAAAGAAAGTTGATACTATAACACATGCTTTGCTTGTGTAAAGGTAAAACAAGGATTCATAAATGGTTAGTCTTGTTGCCTAGAGCAACCTTGTATAATCTAAACAGTCCTGCAATCTATGCGAGGCTCTTGCTGCTACAAAACAGAACTTCCGATTGACAATAACTCCTCTAAGATAGCCACCACAAAAACTACATCATTCATACCCACCTTGGTTAAGTCATCGTTGAAACGAACATCATCTGCCAGCCATCTGAGGAATGCGAAAACAGGTAAGTTAGGTGATGGGAGGTAAGCGTTGAGGAATGTGTTAACTTGTCGAGTGTACGCAGTCTCGTTTCCCTCGGCAATAGGGACAATCTGGCTAGACAGACCGAATGTCACAGGTGTGTAGAATTGTTCAAACATGCTCAGCCAATTCGTCTAATCAAAATACTTATTTTGAAGTATTGAAGAAATAGAAGATATTTTAAAATTACTTTGAGTTTTTCCTTTCTTTATCGGTAATTAGTCCCGCTGCTTCGAATTATTATTACTTTTTTTAAGCCACTTCAAACAATTATTGAATATTTTTGTTTTTAACAAAGTCTCACCTCCATTTTTTCAAAGTATCCAGTGGCTGTCAAATCAGCAAAGAAATCCTCGATGATCTGTCTAGTCGCATTATTCGAATAGTCCAACTGTTTGTCAAACACACACTGGAGAATTACAGGGAACGGGTAGTCATTTCTTCTCGCGTCATAAAACTCGCCAATCGATGAGTCCTCCTTGTAGTAAATCGAGTAAAACTCCTCTCGTGGTATATTGTAAACGGATATGATAGCCAATCCCAGGCCAACTCCTAGTCCAAATATGATCACACACTTGATGTATTTGTTCACGACGAAACGTGGAAGGATCCACATGAGAACTGATTCAATGATGCTTATATCTCGGTTAGTCGAGCATACTTCGCTAGGAGTGGAGTTGAAGTCGAGTACTGGTTTCTCAAGAGCATTATCCGGTTCGTCCTCTGAAAGAACATCGCATTACTAGCAACTAAACCAGAAGAAAACTTACAGCGACCATCTAAATTGATTATAAAAAGGGGAATCCCTCATTGTTTTATGATCAGCATTTTTTCACATAAGTGACCTATTAGCGAAAACTGGCTCAATGGGTATTTTCTTTCCACTAGGAAATCTATAAATTACAATCTTCTTTCGAAACAGTAATTTTCGTTTTTTTTTGCGCCATTTGCACATTCATAAGTCGAAGCGAGAGAACACGAGAGTGAAAGCGGCAAAGATTCAGGAACTTTAAAGTGCACAAAAACTAAAACTTTGCATGTAAGAATTCGGAATGTAACAAGACTACTCTACTCGTATATCAGGGCAAAACCCTGAATATTTAAGGCCAATTCTTGTATAGCTTTTTTCCGTTCAATTATTGATGAATTGAAAAACCATCAACTGTCTGATAAACTTAAGTGTCTTGGAGTAGCCTCTCTTCGTGTAGAAGGAGGGTTTTTTTGTCCGGGAGTCGGGGTGAGCCATCTCCTGAACTGCCATTTGCACCATTTCTGCCGACAGTTCCACCAACGATAGGCGGCATCTTCTTGGAACCTGAGAGAGCAGGCACCAACACTATGTCGATGAGCTCCCAGACTCCGACGACGACCATCCTACTGACCAGTACCCAAGGCTCTCAGAGGACAAAATTAAGCGGATCATCAGGACGCTCCAAATCAACGAGGTCCAACACTACCTAACCGAGCGTGACGACAACAAGGTTCTTTTCTTAAATAGCTCCCGCTCCTGCTCAGTGCAGGACCAACCGCGAGGCAGCGAGATGTCATCCATTTTGCCGCAGCCGGTCCCACCTTAGGGAGGCGGATGACTCTGGGACCCCTCCAACCGTGGCAGTGTCCTCTGCTCCGGTGCCCCTGCGATCAGCCCTGACGAGACCGGGCTTCACAGAGAAACCAGGCGCACCCTAGCCCAGCTACAGATCAGTTACTCCCCATTTTTAAATTCCTACCTAAACAGAATCGCCCCAGAATAACGCCCCTCCAACCTGTGTCCAGACTGCCAGCTGCACACCCACACCACCGCCCACCTGCACCACAAATCCAGCTTTTCTCAACCCCAAAGAACTCTGGACAAACCCCCGGGAAGTTGCCTTTTTCCTTCGGCTGAAGACAGAAGATCTCGTCGACGAGTAGCCAACCTCCGCCCAGAAGGCAATCATCATCATCATCAGTTTCGATCAAAATTTTAAGAATTCCGAACAGTTTTCTCACAGTCGAGAAAACTAGGTTAAAAGTTATATAACAAAAACTATATACACAGAAGGCGAAGCAGAGCTGTTATATTGCTAATTCGTCAAATGCTAATTCATCAAATTTATCATGATCAATATTTTAGTTCATTACCTGTTTGATGTTGCTTTTTGCTGTTCCCTTTGCCATTTGCCACTACATATGTCTTCCCGTTCTGGTCTCCTTTGTGTTCTCTTGCCCATCTTCCGTGCAAACAGAGGCAGGCCAGGAAGAAGGTGCCTTCTCCAAACCACGCAAGAGTGATGCACACAGCTGAAAATTGAAAACAACTAGCAAGCCTGTCTCAAATGACAAAGCAACTCGCAAAATTTTAGTTTTTGTTCTGATCAAGCTATGAAACTTAAAAACAGTTCAAGTTATTTCATGAATCAAGTCGGAGGGCGCAAAGTTATTAGCTTGCTAAGCATCCTACTCCAGATCTGAAACTCTGTTATATTCTCTTAGTTATTTCACGTAGCGAATCAGATAACGAAAAGATGAATTATTTCTATTGAAGCGATGAAAATTCGAATATTTCAAGTTATTTCAAGATCGAATCAGTTTGCGATAAGTTAAACAATTTCTAAGCCAGCTATGAAATTTTGAACCCATTATATAACCGTTATGCCATAAAGGGAATTGGATAGCAAAAAGAAAAAACTGTACTTTTTCTAAGCAAACTAATCAATTAAGAAGCTTTGAAAGGAATCGAATCGGATGGCAAACGTTTACGGTTTCATAATCTTTTCAAGTTTTTCATGGAGCAAATAGTTCCACAAAAAATCAATTGTTTAGGAAGCCACTCAAGCTTTGAAAAACTTCATGTAATTTCAGACTAAATTGGTTCGCGAAAACTTTTCTGCTCAAGCAATTCAAGCTGTGAAAATTGGCTATTTTTAAAGGTAATTCAAGAAAGTAATCGGATTGCGATTAGTTTAAGTTTTCCCGTTTGAGCCATTTTAAATTTTTCTAGGCAAAAAAAATCAAACAAGGAAACTTTGAAAAATTTTGCGTTGTTTTATAGAGCAAATCAGTGAGCAAGTTGTTTTAAGCACGCTATTGAAAATATGAAAATTTATTTTTATTCTAGTTGTTTCTTTCTTAGACCGAAACGTTTCGTGAAAAAAGCGAGGAGTGTTATTTCACAGACCGAATCGGTTTGCAAAAAGTTCATATTTTTTTTAAAAAACAAATCACTCAAATTATGAATATTTGAAATATTTCAATTTAATTTACAGACCAAATCGGTCGGCAAAAACTTCAAGCTATGAAACCTTCAAACAATCCAGGTTGTTTTTAAGACAGAATCGGGTTGCAAAAAGTGCAGAAAACTAAATACTTCAAGTTATCTCATAGATCGAATGTTCGCTTTTCAGTTCGCAAAAAAAAGGGTTTTTAAGCAAGCTATTCCAGCCATGAAACTTAGAAATAATTTAAGTAACTTCATAGACCGATACGGCTTGCAAAATTTTCAAGTTTTTTTGAGCAATTTTTTGTGAAAAAAAGTTCTCATGGAACTATTCAAGCAGGTACATTTTTTAAAATTTCAAGTTTTTTCCTGAAGCAAATCAGTTCGCAAAAATATAAGTTTTCTAAGCAAACTTTTCAAGCTATGAAACTTCGAAACATTCAAGTTAATTCATAGATCTAATGGGTTCGCCAAAAAAATTGATTTTCTAGAGCGAGCTATTAAAGCTATGAAATTTCGAAATTTTTCAAGTTGTTTGTTAAAGTAATTTGGTTCGCGGAAAATTTTTTTTAAAGCAAGTTATTTAAGCTATGAAACTTTGAATTATTTTAAACTATTTCATAGAATAAATCGTTTTGCGAAAAAATTAGGTTGTTCTACGCAAGCTATTAAAGCTCTGAAACTTTGAAATATTTCAATTTGGTTCAAAGGGCAAATCGGTTTGCGAAAAGTTAGCGTAGAAAAAATTTACGAAAATTTTTGCTTAATAATGAAACTAAAGATTTTTTTTTGCAAAACGATTCTGTCTATGAAATAGGCTAAATATTTCAAAATTTTTCTGAGCACGCTGTTCATGCGATGAAACTTCGAAACACGTCAAGTTGTTTCGTAGAGCAAATCGACTGACGACCAGTTTCACGTTTTTTAAGCAAGCTATTGATTGAGACGATGAAACTTTGTTTTTATCTCAAGATTTTTCATAGCAGACATCTGTTTGCCAAAAGCTAGTTTTTTTCAATCAGGTTGCTGTTTTTAATTGGTTCATTTCACAATGAAATCAATCTGAAAAAGCTAAATATGGAAAATGGACTGTCTAGCCATGAAAATAAACTGAGTTCATCTTGTCTACAGAATTGAATTTTTGTCAAAACTAATTCGAGAATATTCAAGACTTAAGAATGTTTGAAGTTCTAGAATAATCTTGGCCTTCTCTTAAACGTGAAGCCTGACGAATTTTTAAACGTAGCATTGGACAAAGCTAAGACATTGCGTTCAGTTAAACATTGCGTCCATAGCGCATTCCGACTTGTATTTAATTAATAAGATTAAGATCTATGGAAAAAAAAGCATTTCAAATTCATTTCGATGATGAAAAAATCGAATTAGTTTGGCTATTTTCTTCTTTCCACTCATCAACGCAGTTTTTTATTCCTTTTCTTCATTTCGAACACATAATTTTCGGTGTCGCAAAGTTTTTCATAACCTTTAAAAAAAAGATAAATCTGCTCCTGAAAAAACTGTAATAAGGTTTCAGACAGGCATAAGCCTATCATATGACACCCTCATTTGTTTTTTTTTTTTGCCGATCAGTTTTGGTGCACGAAAAACACTGCCATCACAAAGGGAAGCTTTAGCTAGTCCACTAACCCATGTACCCACACAAGTAGTCCACAGCAGGAAATGGAGATATCATTCCCACCAGGAATGCGAGGAGAGAGGTCAAATGGGACAGAGATACTCCCATGAAGCTCCTCTCCATGGTCAGTCCCACTCTCTCCACTGGGTTTGAGATTGTCCATAGATTAGCCCACTCAGTGCTCAGAACCAATATGGCGTCAATGCCGATTCCTCAAGCCAAACAAAAGGATTACACCAACACACTCACGGAAAGTAAATAACTAGTCAACTAATTGCAGAGAAACAATTCTATTCAGAACCTGAATTGAGACTAGCAACTTTCTCATTTTTGCATAAAAAGCTGAGAAGGTGAAGAAATTAAACTGTAGCAACCTAATTTACATACTTATCATACCCACTCTTGTACAGTTAACTATTTTATCAATAATATTTGTTCTATATTATAATTAATGTTGCAGTCATTAAAGCGGTTTTCCTTATTGCATTAAAAAGGTTTCAACCTCTTTCAAATTTGAACATAGATACCCGGTTACTGTGCAAGTAGCACAGAATTTCCGAGCAGTCTTATAAAAATCATAAAATTTTTCAAATTTGTGTCGTTTTTTTTTGTAAATAATAATAAATAATGTGTCGACAGTTATAATAAATTAGAGCAACTGGAAAACAGTTTTTGTAGAAAAATTACTAGAAAAACGAATAAAATCCTTAAAAACTTTTTTGTAAAAATTCAAAAAAATTTCAAAATTTTTAGCAGAATTTTTTTTTGATTATCAAATTGGCACTAAACAACTCCAAAAACTAATTTTACCTGAGTAAAACTAAATTTTCACGGCTTCACTTAAGCATAAATAAGCTATTGCAAGCCTGGATGCCCAGCTATTAGCTCGGAAATAGAACAAAAATCAGATTTTCAAACCGGTTTTTCTGAGAATTTTTTAGCAAAGTAGTTTGAATGAGAACTGAAACGGCTTCATTATATCACTCAACTCAGTCTATTAGTGGAGCCAACTCAGTCTGATTATTAGTGGTGCCTATTTTGCGTGGAAAACAAAAAAAAGTAAACAAAAACAACCGAACATTAATTTCGACCCCATTTTACATATATCGGAACAATAATGCAGCTATCAGATAGTTTGCAAAGCCTTAACGAACTCAAGGAAAACAAAATTAGTGACTTTTTTGAAATTTCTACACTGATAGAACAAATTACATCAACCTTCAAAAGACCTTTTCAAAAAACTAACCCAATTTGAGATATCTTGTCAATGGTTATATTTAAACTACATTGGAAGTTCCAAAGGAAATCTGATTTTGAAAATGAAATGTCTTTTGATTTCCACCTGATATGAGAATTAAATAAAAGACTGTAAATCGACAGACATGATTAACAAGCATGAAGCAAAGAAATTTAATTAAAAAAGTATTTGATTGAAAAAAAAATTGTAAAGTCTTGCCATCTTTTCAAAATAAAGCAAGTGTTAATCAAGCCAACTTAAAGGGATATTTGTTGAAAAAAAACTACGAGAGGATATTTCAAAATATTTTCTTCCAACCCGTCAAAGAAATTGGTAAACAAAGAAGTTGTTAAGACATATTCAAATAGTAATTTCTTAAACAATGAATACGTCTTCACAAAGCGGATACGAAACAAATTGCTCAATAGACTTCGAGCGATACACAATCTGAAGACGATTTGAACAATTACATTGTTCAAATGAAAAACATAGTCAACAGACAGTGGGAAAAGAGTTAATGAACGCCAGTCAACAGAAACAACAATGATTTATTTTTTGAAACTCTCTTATATCGAACTTTAAAGAAAAAACAGATGCCCTTAAAACTCTGTGATATTCTTGAACAATTTACGAGTGACACCTTTTTAATTAAAATATCTCATTATGAGAAAACTGGATCAATAGGTAATTTTTTTTATTCCGCTGGGAAATCTGAGAATTAGCTTCCACTTTCGAAACTAGAATTTAATTACATTTTTTGTGAACTTAACACTTTTGCTGTTCAATAGCGGAGTTTGCCTTCCTTTTAAAAACGGAAATGAAGTGACAAAAACAAGTCACTTGCCTGAAGTTTGCCTGAAAAAACAACGGAAAAATCATCAACACCTACACAAGAGTCTGAACTATGTTTATCGACTCTTAAAAATGTGAACTCGTAAATGTATAAAATTGAACAACTAAATTTTTGAGTTAAATTGAAAAAAAACATGATCTCGTAGTAAAAACAGGTTTGCTTGCATAAAAATGCCAGAAAAAAATATGCCTGTGTACGGTTGTAAAAAGAAAAAAGTGTTGACGGCTATGCGATTAATCCAACGGATCTCCAGTTTATCAGACCCTCTTCTATGCCATCTGGACTATCTGCATAATGTAGTCAACACGCCTTCTAAAAAATAGCAGGCAGCAACGATTTTGCTAATAAAAACCGACAAAACGCTTTGTAATAAAAACTTATATAGAGAAATTGAACATAGCCGACAGGCAGTTGCAGAAGAGTCAATGAACACAAGAAAACAAAAAATACAGACTTGTTTAGAAATACATCGATTTTCGAATTTGAAAAAAATAGATTGCTTTAAAGCTCTTTAAAGTTCTAGAACAATTTATGTTGGGCACTTTTTTATATAAAATACATTAATTATACATCAATTTTCGAATTTCAAAATCAAAAACAGATTGCTTTGAAGCTCTTTAAACTTCTAGAACAATTAATGATTGGTAATTTTTTTTTGTAAAATTAGCCTAATTTCAAAACCTGAGTTATAAGCGAACGTTTTTTTTTCCGCTGGAAAATCTGAAAAGTTTGTTTTCCTTTCAATTTAAAAGGAAACCAAAAGTCAATCCGCAAAAAAATAAAATTTGAGCGTGAACAAATTTTAAGTTTTTTCGTGAAAAAATCATCACGACCTATATAAGAGTCTGAACTTAATCGTCTCATTTGTTCGACTGTTTATTAACTATTTTGTTTGAAACTTTTCCTACCTGATACAACAAAGGGAATGATGGCGGATAGGGCGATGAATGGCACTTGAGCGCCAATCATAATCCCAAATGCAGCCCCAAGCGACAATGCAGTGGAGAATATCCCCAATAGGGTCAGAGGAAGTCTGTGACCTTTGAACTTCATGTTGAAAGTGGCTAATACACAGTAAACTATGAGAAGTCCAGCTCCTGCTCCCAGTAAAGGCAAGTCATTTTCAAGATTTTCAGTGTCTTCTTGGCGACCTGAAAACAACATAAGTATTTTTTAAAGGCTCTTATAACAAAAAATCTGTGAAAATTGACCTAATTGTTGTGATAATTTAAGAATAACACTTAGTGGTGTTTAAAAAAGTTCGTTTTAGATTCCTAATTACTCGACTAACCGAGTGGTTAAGTGAATAGCCCTGAAACGGTTTTTAAAGAAATCCGATTAAGGATGAGCTCGGATTTTGTCCGCAACGAGAATCGTCATTGTTCCGACCATTGAAAATGGGGAGGAACTTTGTATTCGAGTGTTTTATTTTTTTTTCTTTTTGTTTTCCACGCAAAATCAAGTACCACAAAAAATCATTGCACTGGGTTGAGTGATATAGCATGTTAAAGCCTTTTCAGTCGTGATTTGAACTACATTTAAAATTCTCGAAAATTCTCGAAACGCGAGCGGGCAGTCTGATCTCAATTGCTTAAAAGCTTACAATAGCTTGATTTAAAACGTACAAACTTAGTTTTACTTGAGTGACGTTAGTTTACTTTGAATAGTTTAGCGCCTTTTTGGAATCAAAACTTTCAAAAAACTGAAAAAAAAAACTTGATAAAATTTTCGAATTTTTTTCAATTTGTTTTTCGTTTTAGTAATGTTTCCACAAACATTGTTTTTCAGTTTGCTTATTTTTTAATGACTCTCGAATATACCAAATCCCCAAATTTTTGTTCAGCTCCTTTTATCACGTCACGCCGAAAAAAAAATGACAATAATTTGAAGAAAAAAAATCAAGACTATGGTCGAAACATTCTGTGCTACTTGCTCAGTTACCGGCTATCCTTGTTTCAGCTTTGAGTTTGTTTTGCAAACTATGGCTTATCGACCGGTTCTAATTATTAATTTACTCTCAAACATATCTCGTAATTACTTTTGTTCCGACAACTTGAAGAGTTGACAGGAACTGTAGATTGGGGTCGGTTTTCATTTTCTTCCAACCAATATTGACTACCTCAAAAAAACTTGCTACGATGTCAAGTGTGGTGTCAAATTCAAGCCTTGTGTGGTAGTGATTCAAATGCAGGAAAAAATCCTGTGTCTGATCCTGTGTATTCTATTTTGTTGTATTTACCCAATTCTTACATTGCTGGCGCTTTGGAAATCATTGCCAAAACATATCGAACAGGACATTCAAGCAACGCACACAATTTGAACATCTAACGTGGACGTTTTTTTCTACCGGTCGGTGAATGTCTTCAATGACTATACAAATATCTGGTCATAACATTTTCGGCTCAGTGGATTTACAACGGCTAATCCGTATTTTCTTATCATTTCGTAGGTTTCGAAGCATAATACTTTCAATGCACTTAGTCACTGAATTATCAATGCTCTTTTGTTACAAAAATTCACAAAGAGAAGAAGCTGCACCTCTACGGGAATTGAACCTGTCCTCCAGGAGTTAAACCAGTCCTCGGACATTAATTTTCCCAGTTGACTGCCTTACAACTGTTCTACTGAAGTCTATTGAAACCAAAGACAAACCAGAAAGCGGCAAAAGCCAGCGTCAGAAAGCACCAAAACAAAAATCTATCATGTAATAATTTGGAATGTATTAAGCTAAAGGCAATCAAGCTAACTCTGCACGTAAAAAACTGGAACTTACAACGCACAATTGTGCAGAAATTATGCATTTCAAAAATTTCGCGAAATATATTGAGTGAAATAATTTTTGAAAAAGAGCTTTGGAATAAAAAAACTTTCGATCTACTGGAACCGAATCTGCGACCTGATAAATATAGTACCTAACATCTCCGCCATGTGTGGTTGAAATGGGCAAACAATAAAGCGTATCAAACCCATGGTATTAGATTTCCAGTTATGTACAGCAAAATTACCACCAAAATGAGCACTCTTTTATGCGAGTTGGATTAGAAAAATGTCAGTTATTTGCTATAACGGTACGCTTGTGCATTCAAAACGTCAAGGCAGCAAAGTTCTTGAATCATTCTAATTTAGTGTCAGTGATGGAGGTTTTAAAGTCAAAAATGCTTGCTCCAAGTTTTTGTTTGTAGAAAGAAGCAAAAATAACACACCTTTGGCATAGCTGTACAAATAGTAGTTTGCATTCGTGAATCCCTTCCTCATTTCGTCCAATTGTCCAAACACTTTCTCACTCCATTCTTCAGCTTGGCTGGTTTTGTACGTGTACCAGTACAGCACAATATGCGAAGCACCCGATACCTGTTCTTCCGGCACCAAGGAATTATTGGCTAACAATCTTACTGTCTCATTTGAGACTACTTCATTGCTGATGCTAAGAATCGGCAACAATGCTGAGGTTATGAAGGGAGGTGAAAACTGTGGAGCAGTTTGGAGCAGACCGGAACAAGCGAACGCTCGCTGACAACTTTCTAAAAGCAGGTTTGGAAAAGCTGCGACAATGTGGACTTTTCTGTTCACAAATGAAAGCACAAAAAATCAATTTCATTCTACAAAATCAGGTACATTTGGTTCGGAAAAGCTAACCTTTTAGTAACATTTGTTCAGTAATCACGAGAGCTCATGTTGAGCTCTTCCATAAAAATAGAAATGAGATGTATTTTTTGCTCATATGAAAATCTTACCCTTCCAAGTTGCGCAAACATCACTATATGTCAAATCCTCTCCTCCAACATTAGCAGTCACTGTCTCAAACGCACCGCAGAACTGGAATATCTCCGCGATACCCTGCGCATCCAGAACGTTATCACCTACGTTCCTCGCCTGAACGTAGAGCACGAACATTTCAGGAAGGTCATACAAATGAGCAGGCCAATAGTTGTCAAAAGTCACTGGCCAGTTTTCGAGGAACCAGTCCCGACTGTCTCCAATCCAGGTGCCTCTGGCGAGGAAAGCTGTCACAGTGTCTTCCTGGTTGGACAAAAAATTTTTTTTAGCTGACCTGACAGGGAAATTGCAAAATATTAATGAAACGGAAGATTTGAAACGTTTGAAATTATGAAATCCGCAGAAGTACAGAATATGGTTCTTTTTCTAGCAACCTGTTTGAACTCATCGGTGACGATTCGGAGCAACCCCAGCACTAACAGTGCCTGGATTAGGAAAGACACTATTAGCACTGGCCAGGGGTTCCTGGCAACCATTTTGCCGTAGTTGTAGAAAATACTGGAGAGGAACTTCTCCGGGAATCCGATCACCCGAATGCAGCAGTCTCCGAATCCTTCAGTGCTTGGTACTCCTAAGCCAAAAGAAGCTGTAAATTTTTGAAAACAGGAAGGTGAAATGATTAGCTCTTCAGCTGTTCAGCCCACTAAACACGTCTGCATTTCACTGCCATTTAATTTAATCTTGCCATCACAAATCTTCGTTGATTACGTTCAAATTAGAAAGAACCTGCGACTCCAAACGTTTTAGACAACCCGGCATACAATTACGAACAAAAACAAATATGAAGTAGCAAATAAAAACACATACCTGGTTCTCGTTCTGCAGACATATTCGAAGTTTTCAGGGCAACCAAAACTCTTAATACCTCAATGACTGATGATTTTTGGTTCAAAACTTAACACGTACGAAGAGCGCAGGTAATAATATTTTATTATAGTTTATTTCTTAAGATGTAAAATCAGTCCAAATTCCTTTCGCATATTAGTTCAAAAATGTGCTAAAACTTGTGAACACAGACTTGAACAGGTTTCAAATTTGATACAAGACTAATATAGTAAACGTAAGAATAGCATGTAAAATATCTCGCAAAAAATCTTACGTTCACTTTGATTCAAAAACTAATTATCTAAGTAAGACTTTATAATTCAATTTTAATTTTTCTAAAAATTAAATCGTTTGGCTAAGAACTGGTATTGCAAACCATGCATAGAGGCTACATGCAGTGCTGACAGTTTAAACTGGCATGAGAATTTAAAATCAGTGAATTGCTTCTTACATTTCTATTTTGCAACTCAACTTAAATCGCTATTTAAATTGCCAATTTCTATTTAGATGTAGGTAAATTGTTGCGAGTATAAAAATGGATCGGTAAATTGGATCAAAATTTTCTAAATAATCCGACCTCGGGTACTTATAAACGCGACCATATTGTAACGCTACCATATCGGAATGTAAAAATAGTGTCCTTCGTGAGACCAGGGGTGAATTATCTCAGATTTTCAAAATATTTTGAGAAAAATTTACCACCTTTTTTCAAGTCGACCAAACTAATTTTCGGAGCTCTCAAAACACTATAATGACCATATTTATCCGAAAATTTATCCCGCAGGCAAAAATTTAAAAAAAAAAAATTCAAGAAACTGCCCCTCCCCTGCCAAGATACACCAAGTTAAGATCATCCACCCCAGCATTTAAATTAGATTAAGTTTGCTTACCGCTACGTGCAAAATATTAGTTTCTGATTGACTGAAAAATCCCAAGAAAAAAACAAGTTAACATTCTATCCTACCCCCCCCCCCCTCCTCCTCCGCTTGCTTCGAAAAAAATGGGCATCACTATTCGCACTTATATAGCGCTCTACTTCTATGAAAGCTAAGCTAATATCCGAAGAATTTACTTTTAGTCTATTGCATTTTTGTTAGCTGATAATTTCGAACAAAACAAGTTGTAACCGTTCTGTGACGAATTTGCCTAAGGGGTCATATTGTTTTTGTAGATAATTCCCTTAACGAGGGGCGAAGTTGATATTTTTCGAAGTTTTTAGGTCGGCAATAGTAAGAACAACGTTTCAAACGGGTCATTAATTGTTCTAGATTGTTTCAAAACTTTCATATAACTATGAAAACAGCAATAAAAATTTAGCAAAATTAATTTAAAATTACTTAATTTCTTTGAACTATCAAGTTATTGAAAGCTTCAAAACTTTAAATTCTTACCCCTGCTTGTTGATTACTTTGAACGAGGTAAGTTTAAATGAAGAAAAAAAACAATAGAGCTGTTTCATAAAAAAGCATGTTCTTTAAATACACGAGAGTGATTCACATAAGCAACCCTTGACAAAGTCAGACAAGTGATAACTCCATATAATACCATATAGTTTGAATGCAAAAAAAACGTTTACCTTAAACTGCATAGCTTGAGAGTTTGAGCCTGATACAAAACACACTCTTATTTGGTCTGGAAAGTTGTGAATTTCCAATAAAATGAGAAAACCAATTTTTGTCAGGATATGGCACAATTTCAAAAATGATAGTCATTGAAGTAACTGGCTTGACTTGTCTTAGTTAGATACATCAGCTTACGCTCTAGCTAATCAATTAAAAGGTAAAAGTAAAGCAATCCCAAAAATAGTTTCTACAAATTTTTTGTTATAATTTAACAAAAATTTTCTATATTCCTTAAAAAAGATGGATTACAGTGGAGTATGAGAAAGATATGCAAAGAAAAGTTACGACGATCATCTCATGCTCAAAAAGATAAGAAGTTTATCTTCTTGACTGCTAATTGCTTGATCAGTTAAACATAACAAGATTGGAAAAAAGGATGAAAGTTTATTCAACACAGAGGCGGAGCTGAGCTTCGCAATACTTGCAGCTCAAAACAAAAAAATCCTTAAGTCGAAAAAAAATATTGAAAATAACGAAAAAACTACATCTATCAAACTGAATTAAAAATTCACACTCACCCTCGAAACACAAAAACATATATCGTTTTTTGGTACTCAAATGCAACAAAATGAGGGCACTCAGCCGAAACAATACAGCCTAAAACCTATTTAAACAAAAAACAAAAATTAAAAACAGCCGAAAACCAAAAAAAATTATGACTAGAAAAGTCAATAAAAACTCGATTTACCAATACGAACTATTAAGTCTACCTCACCCTCAAAACACTAAAAAAAAATTTGTTTTCGCTTGTCGAAAGAAGCATTATGAGGAACTTAAGCCGATATTATTTCGGCCGCAACCTATCAAACAGAACAAAAAGGAAAAAAACAAAAAGCCTTAAACGTACTGTTGCCACAAAACTATAACAATCTACAACGTTTCAAACGGGTCATTAACTGTTCTAGATTGTTTCAGAACTTTTGTATAACTGTAAAAACAGCACCAAAGGTTTAGTATATTTAATCAAAAACTACTCAATATCTTTAAATTATCAAGTTCTTGAAAGCTTCAAAACTTTAAATTCTTACCCATGCTTGCTGATTGGTTTGAAAAAAGTAAATTTAAGAACAAAAATTAATTTAGCTACGTTTCGTAAAAAAGCAGGTACCTCCAATACACAAGAGTGATTCAAAAAACCAACCCTGGACAACGTCAGACAAGTGATAACTCTATGTATACCAAATAATTTGAATAAAAAAAACATTCAACTTAAACTGCACAGGTTGAAAACCTGATTCTGATACAAAACACACCCTTATTTGGTCTGGAAAGTTGAGAATGCCCATTTTTGTCAGATTACAGCACAATTTAAAAAAGTCCCACTTTTTCCAAACTCTTTATATACTTCCTTCCCAATGTTTAGAGAACACTCCAAAAAGTGAATCTAAAAGCTAGATTTTTTATCGGAAAGATATAGTTCGAACTAACTGACTTTTTTGTTAGATAAATCAGTTTACGCTCTAACTAACGAAATAAAAGGTTTAACAATCCTCAAAAAATGTTTCTTTAAATCTTTAAATTTAAATCACCAAAAAAGTTTTAAATTCGTCAAATGGATAAAAGAGGAGTATGATGGATAAAAGCGGAGTATGAGAAAGAAATGCAGACAATGAAAAGTTAAGACGATCACTCATGCTCAAAAAGCTAAGAAGTTTATCTTCTTGACTGCTAATTGCTTGATCAGTATCACATAACAAGATTGGAAAAAGGCTGAAATTAAATTCAACACTGAGGCGAAGCTGCGCGTTGCACTAATTGCGGTTCAAAACAAAAAAAACCTTCAAAAAAAAATTGAAAAAACTAGATCTATCAAACAGAATTTAAAACTCACACTCACCCTCGAAACACAAAAACATATGTTTTTTGGTAGTCAAAAGTAACAAAATGAGGGCACTAAGGCGATGCAATATAGGCCAACACCTTTTTAAACAAAAAAAAACAGAAAAATTGAAAAAAGCCGAAAACCAAAAAAATTATGACAAAAAAATTAATAAAAACTAGATTTACCAATATGAATTTTCAAGTCCCCTCACCCTCAAAATTCTCTTTTCGCTCGTCAAAAGAAGCAAAGTGAGGAACTTAAGCCGATATTATCTTTGAATCTTACTGAGTCTAAATTTACCATATCATTTTGAACATTCCGTGAACAAAGTTATTTACGGGTAAAAAAAAACTGGTACCAGGTTGCAATACCTTTGCTTGTTGAAAGGGTGAAAAAGTACAGAGACAAACATTGCTGAATGATTATGAACAAATGAGAAACTAAATTATTCGGATAAAACGTAATAGTTTTATTTTCTAATTTTCTGCCTGAGTGAATTAATTTCAGCAGCAACTGGGAAGTAGCACTCACCGAAATCACATACCTTTTACACCAAGAAATTAGCGAGACGACAGGAAAAAAATATAACGGAAAATAACCGAGAGAAGATGAGCAGACAAACTTCACAACAGAAACGTCTGACTTGTGTCAAAAGCAAGGTCTAAAATTTGGGAGCAGTATTTCTTATGGTACAAAGTAGAACCATTTTATCCATATGATAGTGGTAAAATTCGTGCTTTCCTTGAGCACTCAAACAATGGAGTATAGTTTAGTTTGTGAAACTAAGTCAAAACTACTACAATCTTTCGCAAATACGCAGCGTATCAAAAACAATGTGTTGAGCTGATTGCAGACTGTTGACTCAAAAGTTTTTAAGAAACCCCAGTACACAAAGTTTATCAGGACTAATTTCACAGCATTCAAATCGAAATTCGCGATATACAGGGAGCACTCATACCTTTATCAAGTGCTGAAACTGCAACACTAACACTACAATTTACGAACACTAACACTACTATGAAGTCCACCTCACCCTCAAAAAACACATGAAGTTTTCTTTTCGCTTGTCAAAGAAGCAATATGAGGAACTTACGCCGATAATAATTGGGCTGCAACCTATCAAACAACAAAAAGGAAAAAAATCAAAAAGCCGTATACAAATTGTTGCCATAAAAACTATAACGTTCTACAACGTTTCAAATAAACGAGTCACTACCTGTTCTAGAGTGTTTCAGAACTTTCATATAGCTATAAAATTAGCACCAAAGGTTTAGCTTATTTAATTAAATAATACTGATTAACTTTGAACTATCAAGTTCTTCAAAGCTTCAAAACTTTAAATTCTTACCCATGCTTGTTGATTAGTTTGAACGAGGTAACTTTAAACACAAAAATTAATCGAGCTATGCTTGGTAAAAAAGTAGGTTCCTTCAATACGCGAGAAGGATTCAGATAAACAATCGTGGACAAATTAGTCTGACTAGTGAGAATTCTATGTATACCAAATAATTGCAAAAAAAACATTCAACTTAAACTGCACAGCTTGAGAATCTGAGCCTGATGCAAAACACACCCTTATGCGGTCTGGAAAATTGAGAAAATCCATTTTTGTCAGAATACGGCACAATTTAAAAATCTTAAACAATTCCCTTACAATGTTTAAACAAGACTCCATAAATTGAATCTATATGCTAGATTTTTTTTATCGGAAAGATATAAATTTAAATGGATGACTTTTTTTGTTAGATAAATCAGTTTACGCTCTAGCTATTGTGTTGGA